CCAGGGTTGCCCCGGGGCTGTGCCGCGGGTGCCCTGGGCTGTCTCGGGGCTGCCCTTGGGGTGCCCCATGGCTGTCCCGTGGCTGTCCCGTGGGTGCCTCGGGGGTGTCCCGGGGTTGTCCAGGGGGTGCCCCTGAGCTGTCCCGGTGCTGTCCCGGGGATGTCCCGTGGGTGCCCCGGGGCTGTGGCGGGGATGCCCCGGGGTCGCCCTGGGGGTGTCCCGGGGCCACCCCGGGGCTGTCCCGGGGCTGTACCAGAGATGCCCAGGGGTGCCCCGGGGCTGTGGCGGGGATGCCCCGGGGTCGCCCTGGGGGTGTCCCGGGGCCACCCCGGGGCTGTCCCGGGGCTGTACCAGAGATGCCCAGGGTTGCCCCGGGGCTGTGCCACGGGTGCCCCGGGCTGTCCTGGGGTTGCCCCTGGGGTGCCCTATTGTTGTCCCGTGGCTGTCCCGGGAGTCCTCTGAGGTGTCCAGGGGGTGCCCGGGGGCTATCCCGGTGCTTCCCTGGGGTTGTCCCGTGGGTGCCTCGGGGCTGTCCCGGGGATGCTCGGGGTTACCCCGGGGGGTGCCCCGGGGCTGTCCCGGGGCTGTCTCAGGGATGCCCTGGGGCTGCCCCTGGGATGTCTTGAGGCTGCCCCAGGGCTACCCTGGGGCTGTACTGGGGTTGCCCCGGGGGTGTCCCTGGGCTGTACCGGGACTGTCCCGGGGCTGCCTTGGGGTTGTCCCGGTTCTTCCCCGGGGGTGCCCTGGGGCTGTCCCGGGGCTACCCCGGGGGTGTCCCAGGGCTGCCCCGGGGCTGTCCCATGGCTGTCCTGGGGGTGCCTCGGGGGTGTCCCGGGGTTGTCCAGGGGGTGCCCCTGGGTTGTCCCAGGGCTGTCCCGTGGGTGCCTCGGGGTCGACCTGGGGGTGTCCTGGTGCCGCCCCGGGGGTGTCCCGGGGCCGACCCGGGACTGTCCCGGGGCTGCCTGCGGGGATGCCCTATGACTGTCCCGGCGATGCCCCGGGGGTGCCCCAGGGCTGTCCCGGCGATGCCCCGGGGGTGCCCCAGGGCTGTCCCGTGGGTGCCTCGGGGCTGTACCGGAGCAATCAAAAGTGATAAATCCATAAATATGAGTCTTCTAATAACTTAAGATTAAGATCATTATATATGTGACTATCGATATACTGAAATAGAATTTTTATGCTTAACAGAAGTTGTCAGAAATTTATATTATTTCTGTGTCTCGGTTCCACACAATCTCATTATGCGTAATGCACTCATTGAATATCCTGTCATATTAACAGTGTAGATAACACAATTTCATTTTAAATGGGAATGACATGTATTAATAGTGTTTTAAATAAAGATTCTGAGCTTTAATTAAATTCATTACGAACATAGTTTTGATTATTATTTTTAAATATTATCCTCTCGCAAATAACATTTATATACAATATTTAAGATCACATAAATAATCATAAAATTTTTAATGATATTTATAAAATATTTAATAATATATACACATAAAATAATAAATAAACTTTTTTATTAAATAAATAATAAATATTATGTTACATATCGTATTTTTAAAATAATATTCCCAACATTTGTACCTAGCAGCATAAGTATGCGTCTAAGTAACTCTTCTTTGGGAGTTTCTCTCACCTCATTTATTTTACCAATTCAAATTTTTAATTTTAAATTTTTACAATAAAAAACTTTCAAAAAATGTCACATTAATTTCTTTTAACTATTACTCATTGTTTTGAGCTACCCGTAGTCCATGTAAAAAACGGATATGACTGGGTTTTTATTATATGCTATAAACCTGCACCGCGTTGCGCCAGAGTCCCCTGTCCTCTGTCCAAAAAAGTTGTTTGAGTCCTTGTCCAACAAATGAAAACAAGCCACGTCACTTGGCGTTGACGTGACAGAACATTTAACTCCCTCTATCTCTTGCTAAAAAAAAATTATCTCTCTCTACCATCAACTTTTTTTGTTTTTTTTTCTTTTTCTTCTTCTCTCTCTTTTTTTTCCCTAAAAGTTCATCTGTCTCTGTTGAGTTGTCTCCTTCTCTCTCTTGCGGTGGTTGTTACAAATTTGCAAGAGACAATGATATTTTTATTAAGAACCAAATCACCATCACGCTTTAAAAGAATTTCTTCCTTTTCTGAATAGATGTTGAAGAGTTCAAAACGAACCTGAAAAACCTCATTTTCCCTTCTCAGTTACATTTTTCTTTTTTCAATGTTCATCCATTTGGATTTAGTTTCTTCACTCATATAGTTTCTAGCAAAAATTAAATTCTTCACCCATATTAGAAATCCACATTCAGAAACATATTTCCTAAAATATAATTTATGGAGAAAAAGCACTGAAGAATTTGCTTCCTCCTTTACCCTAAAAAAAATCGCATCCAACAATTGATTAGGACCCCATGTCTGAGAGATGCAGGGCCAGTAGTTTCTATCCAAAAAATAAATAAATAAGTTGAATCAATTATGGATTCTCTCCGCGTATTAGTTTAGTTGATGGAGAGAGAAAGAATGCTAAACGATAACTTGCGTGAATGGCTTAATTCCACGTCAATAGATGTATCGTTTTTAAGTTATATTATATATAATGTTATATGTACATTTTACAGTTTAGCCTTGTGGAAAACACGGAGTAGGGTTTACTCGGCGGCGGAAAGGATTTAAGCCAAAAGATGTGTTAGTCTGTCAATTAATTACGCCAACGACAATATTCTCCACACCATATCAACACTGAATCCAAGTGCAAGTTACACAAACTTACTGATTTATGGTGGCGTAAGAATAACCGTAGGCGCGGGTTGGCTAGAAGGCCGAGGGAGTAGAGATTATTTATCGAGAAAGGAGAACACGAAACCCTTTTCCCCGCGTCGAAGAGGTGCCGACGTTTTTCTCTCTTCTGATCGCACTTGTATATCTTCATTTAGGTGCCGTAGAATCCCTATTATCGGTAGTTCAAAATAAGAGGAATTATGGGAGAATCGAGTCCGTTCACTTCGCTGATTCGAGTTTATAATTCGAGTTGAGATGTGATTTTGTGTGAGAGCTTTTTACTGTAGCAAAAAAGTTAGAAGTGACTGTTTATTAGAACTTTTTGCTGTAGTAAAACTCGAATTCTAAACTCGAATCGACGAAATGAACAGGGTCTTAGCCTCCGTCACTAGGTTTTCTGTTCCCTCACTTTTAGAGAAAAGTAAGTCATGGTCAAAAAAAGGTTGGAAGGGTAGTAGAATATCAAGATAAAATTCGTCGACTAAGCTACGAATGAGTCAGCAGATTTGTTAATGTCAAATAGTAAGAAACAAATATATTGAATGGTTATTCAATATAGCATCGTGAGTCCAATTTTGAAAGTTTTACAAAAATTTTGAAATCTTATTCTGTTGCTTTAAATTGTTTTTTGAAACATTTTTCTAGTAACAGTTTGTGGATTTGTTATTGACTAAAAAATCAAGCCCTCAAAAATATAAATTTATAAGCATATTGTTAGTTAATTTTTTTAACATTTCACCAAAGATTGTGTTGATATTACTTGTATAGGGAATAGGAAGAAAATGATGGTAAATAAAGAGACTAAGAAGTTTATAAAGTTATTAGATATAATGAACTAAAGTTCTTATTTACGTGTCTTATGTGTTTTGTGATTAATAAAAATTATGTCATAATACATTTATGGATTTAAATGCCATGGGTCCCTAAACTTTGTAATTTTTGGCATTTAGATCCTTATTTTTAGAATTTCGATACTCAAGTCTTATATGTATTTTTGTTGGCATACTCAACTATTTTTAGAATCTGTTGGCATTACTAGTCCCCATTTTAAGAATTTAGACACCTAGGTCTACAAACTCTTTTTGTTGATACCTTTAGCCCCATTTAAAGAATTTGGACATTCAGGTCCACAAACTCTTAATGTGTTAGTTTTTGGTTTAGTTTGCTAGATTTTGTGTTAGAAAAAATAAAAAATTTATCGTTAAGAGTGTATGAGTTTGAATCTTTACCCATTATTCTTGATAAATACTATTTTATTAGTGTAATTATTTGACTAAAAAGATTATGAATTAAGAGTAAAAGGGTAAAAATTATGACTCATGCACTTTCAAAGGGTATTTGTCAATATTATCTTTTGTGTTATGACAGTGTTTTGTGTGGTCTTAGTGCTGCGGGCCTCTCGATTTCAATCAATTGGATTTAGCCATCAACTAGAAAAAATTTATTAAAGAGTAGTGTGCATACTCGATCTTTAGTGTATCTTAATGAGTGTCTGCCCTTAGAATTTAGTACACGCTTCTTCTCTTTAAACGTTTTAGTCAAATTTACTAACAGATCTAGTTATTCTATTGGGGTCATGATTTTCTTGTAGTTTATGACTATTCGATTTGGAATTGGTGTTTGTACTTTCTTAATTTGAAATATTTTATCCTATTCTAGAAAAATGGGATTTAAATTACAAAAATTAATAATCAGCACTAACTTACTAAAAATATAGGTGGAAGATAACGTAAAACAGACAACAAATAAAAGCACTTGTGGTAAATATCTTATCTAAAAAAAAAACACTAACAAACAGTTGCAAATAAAATAATAATAATAAAAATCCTTTAAAGGTAAAAATAAAACTCTAAAATATATATGGTATTATGCACATTTGCCCCGTGAATTTGTAGGGCTTTACAACTTGTCCATGAATTTTAATTGTAACAATTTACCTCTTAAATTTAGAAAATTGTTGCAATATCCTCTATTTTACTAATTTTATTTTGATTTTTTTGTTAGATTTAAGAGATAAGAGTAGAAAAATTGAGAAATTTATGTAATAATTAGATTTGGGATGTTAAATTTTTTTTTTATCGAACGTGACATGATCACTATCAAAGTAGAATGCATTATAACACCTTTATAAGTTTTGATGGTAAATTACTAAAATTAAAAATTTAATGGGCCAAATTTTGCTATACCCTACAAATTTCGGGACGAATGTACATAATACCCATATGTATTTTACAAACATCTCAGTCTGGGTTTAAGTGCATTTTTTGAAAAAAAAAAAAAGAGAAAAAAAAAGAAAGAAAAACCCTAGAGCGCATCAGTGGCACCGGCCCCAATCCCCAGCCGTCGAGTTGTGGAGGCCGTTAGCCAGTCAGCCAGCCCTCCTTCCGAGCCCATTTCAAGCCACCTTTAACTGTAAGCCAATCTCTACCACGGTTGCCTTTCTGTTTGTGTTGTTATCATCATTTTTTTTTGCGTAATTTCTTTTTATATTATTTGTTTGAATTTGGGATTTTGTGGTGGTTATATATATATATATATGTTCGATGGGTCGATGATCAGGAAAGCGTAGAATAGAATAGCTAAATGAATATTTGGTTTTTATCGTTGTAGGAGCTCTCAAAATGGGGTTACCTGCGAAGCGATTGAGAAAAGCACATGACAGTGACAATGAGTTTGATTATTATGATGATGAGCTCAATGTAAGTCACGTATTTTTTTTTGTCGATTTGTATTGAATAGTTCTTTAATTTACATCGATTCTTTTTCTTGTTGATTGAAAATACATACATATATGTGTATATATATGTGTGTACGTGTGTGTATATATATAATGTAGTCAGAACATGAAGAAGAAAAAGAAGATGATGATGATGACGACGATGACAGTGTTGAGGTTGAGAGCGAAGCTGAGGATGATAGCGATGGTCGGGGCAATGCTGATGTTGATGATGATGATGAAGAGGAGGAAGATCAGTCGGAAGACGAGGAGGAGGAAGAAGAAGAAGAAGAAGAAAATAGTAATGGACGGAATACATTGAACGATGATGCTGAGATGCATGAACTTGAGAAAGAATATATGAATCTTTGTAACCAGGAGCGGTAGGGCTTCTATCGCCATTTTGCCATTTTCCCCTCTTTGTTTTTCACTTTTCGACGTTTACTTGTTTGCCTAACATGTGTCATAAATAAAATATGAGAATTGTTACTTGCATCAAAGGATTTATGTTAGCTCGTTGAAACGATCGTATTTAGTGGATCACACACCCTTTTTCCCCTCTTCCAATCAGGGATATCTTACAGAATTTGAAGCATCACAAGGGCGAAGATATTCTTAAAGGGCAAGCAGTGAAAAATCAGAAGGTGTGATCTCCTGTGTTTTACTATTATATAGTCTTACTTGCTTACGTTAGGCACGAAATTGGTTCAATTTTCTGTATGTATAATTTCCGTTTGTTGGTTGAATTAATCTCCGTTTCTTGACCTTATAATAATTTTAGATATTCTTCAATGTATTTTTTTTTTTGTTATGTTGAAATTTTTTTTCAATTTAGATCCTTCATCCTTGGTATTATGATCTCATAAATGAATAATCTGTGGGGTTAAATTTTGATAGCAGAAGAAGATTGAGGCTTCCAGTTATACATCTTTTTTCTGGTTTTTCTACCGCCTTTTAATGTATATATACATTGACATACTTATTACCCTTTTACTCTTTTTTGTATTATTTTGTATTGTAAAAGGCTTTATGGGACAAAACTCTTGAGTTAAGATTCTTGCTTCAAAAATTATTCTCCAGTTCAAACAGATTACCACAGGTATGCTTTGTCCGTTGATTCTTAGTTATGCCGATTCTGGATGTTTAAACATGTTTAAGCAGTTACCCATCTGATACTGTTTGTAGGAGCCTATGAGGTCTTCATTTTGTGATTCCGACGAGACTGTACATGTAGCGTATTCTGACCTAATTACATCGTCACAGAAAACTTTAGATTCTCTGTTGGGACTACAAGAGGTACTAAAAAGACTATCATATACCTTATGGTTTCTTGTCGTCTGTCTTCCTTCCTATGACATGAAAATGTGTTTGTTCTGTTTCATGAATATTGTCACATGCTCAATTCATGTTCCTTTTATTATTTCAGGCTTTACTTGAAAAGAATCCTTCTATTCTGCAAGCCACATATGGTAAGTATGTTTTATTGGTATGGTGCATAAATATCATTCATCATAAGAACGGGAAATTGGGCAGAATTTGTAAAGACTTATTGATACTTTATTTCCTTGTATTCTTTTGAAATGTTCAGATGCAGCCAAAGGTACCCATTAGAGAGGAGAATTTAACCAAATATCACTGATGTGCTGCATCATTCTTTTCCATGTGTTCAAATCGTGACTTGTTCCTTCTGCTATAGTTATTTGCTTTGAGTTAGACCTTAAATGATCAGTACTCTCTGGCTTTATTTCTTATTTGGATTATCCTCGACTTCATGTCCATGATGTAAAATGTCATTGCTTTTACTTTTATTTTGTTTTTTTTTCATTCTTCAAGTTCATGAATTCTCCTTAAAGAAGGAAGCTCATGCATGGATATTGACATGGCTTTCTTGTTCTGACGTGTTTCCTGTTTCAAGGTAAGCCTGGACAATCCTCCAAGCATTCAAAATCTTCAAAAAGTTCTGATGTGAAGAATGACGAAGATTGGTCTCGAATATCTCAATTGCATGGAAGGTAGGCAATCTTTTGGATATGCTCTTGCTTTGTGTTTTAGCTAAACTTATGCAAACGTGAAGATAAAGTTTTAAATAGTTTATAAGATGTCTGTGATTCATTAAGCAAGCAAGAATGCTCCCCTGCAGTTCCCGTTTCTATTTTTCGGGAACCTTGGCTCAGTCTATAAGTTGTCATCCTGGAAGTGAATATTGTCACCTATTTGTTTGTTTGTTTTTTATTACTTTTTTTTCCCCCAAGTGCACTATATCTAACATATTTTTTGTCATATACAAATGTTTCAAGCTGCCTAAAATGCCCTTTATGGATTTCCACGTGTATACAGAAGTTCATATCAAAGAATTGGTGGTCATGATTTACTTCCTAAAATGTTTATTGGTGGTCAGGATTTACTTCCAAAAATGGTTACTTAGGGACAGGACCATTTGGGTTTGTATGTTCAATAGAGGGTATCCAAATGAACATACAATGCATTTATGTACTATCCACGTTGTAGAAAATTCCTATCAGAGTAATATTTATGCTTACATACTCATGTTGATTCTCTGACTACTTCCATTGCAGCCACGTCCCATTATTTGTTTAACACTTGCTCCATGTGTATTAACATTGCCATACTGCAATTATTGCACATGTTTAGTTTCATTTGAGAACTTCCATGTTCTATTTTGTAGAATAACACCTTTCCGGAATAAGTCTGTAGACAAGTGGCAAAAGAAGACTCAGGTGATGACCGGAGCTGCTGCTATTAAAGGCAAACTTCATGCATTTAATCAGGTATAGCCCTATGATTGAACTTACAACTGTGCTGCCTGGCTTGAGGCATGACGGAATTCAATTTTTTATTTGTCTACTTGCAGAATATTAGTGAACAAGTTGCTGCTTATATGAGAGATCCAAGTAGAATGATCAAGCAAATGCAGCTAAGAAGATCAACAGTTTGTGTATTCGGGACAGTAAGTGAGGCTGAGTTTTCATTTTATGTTGATTTAAACAATAGTGGGAATCTCATAGTACGCTGATCTGGTACTTATAAAAATCTAAAGCTTCGTTCGTTTCACTCGTTCGAGTTAAAAAGTGAATTCATGTGAGAGAAAACACTAGCTGAAAAGGCTGAATTTGAATTTTTGTGAGAGAAAACACTGTAGCAAAAATTTGAGTTGTGATTCAAACTAACGAAACGAACAGGGCTTAAAGTTTTCCTTACCTTATTTCTCTGCTGCCTTTTGATGGCAGGTTCCTAATGGAGAAGCTAATCCAGAGCGAGAGGTAATTCTACTTCTTTGGACACACCTGACTTAATTAAGCAATGCTAACAATAAAATTCTGTTCTGAAAGCGGAAGTATATATGTGAAATACAATGAAAAAGAAATTCAAAATGAGAAAACGCTTGATATTGTCAAATTCGTTTTATATTTCTACAAAATTAATTATTTATATACTATATTCAGTAATAAATAATGTGATAGCGGTGCTCAAACAAATTAATCCTTTTACTCGTAGGAAGCGCTTTCTGATGGTGGTGCACAAGCTGATGGTGACCCTGAGCTTTTAGATGATTCTGAGTTTTACCAGCAACTACTTAAGGAGTTTTTTGAGTCAATTGACCCAACATCTAATGGTAAAATCATGTGCCATCTTATGCCTTTTTACTTGCTGCCTGTATCATGCATTTCTACTCGATCTTTAAAATTTATTAACTTATGAGAAATGCTATTGTTCACGAAACATTCATAACTTGAACTTCACGAATTAGTAATCCGCAAGTGCAAGTCACGTACACAGAAAATCATCCTGAAGACTGAAGAGAGTAGGGACTGTGACAGGTGGGAGATTGTGGAAGAAAGTTTTGGGAAGTTTGTGTATGCTTATGAAAAAAAAAAAAAAGAAGAAATAAAAAACTTTTTTTAATGGAAAGATCTCTGTTCTATTAAGAGAATAACGAGTGTAAACTTATAAAATAGTTTTACAGATCTGCTTCTTTGTTTTTTTTTCCCTTTTTTCTTTTTATCATTTTTAATTTATCCATTGAATAAAAGAACCACACACCAGATTAGATTAGAAACAATTGAGGTTTATTGGATTTTTAATTTCTTTTTTTCTTTTTTTGCCGGATTTTGGTTCCCCAAATATTTATCCTATTTCCTCAGATCTGGGTCTACTTGGCCAAGACAACAAAGGATGAAAATTAAGAAGGCCAAAAAAAAAAAGTAGTGGCCATGACCCAGTTTAGATAATGGCAAGGATTCTCTTGCTCGCATTTCTTTTTGCTGGAAACACTTTTGGCATTTTGTGAGGTGGCCATGGTTTTGATTTTGTGTGCAAGGCAGGGGCCGCGGATTAAGCGAATCAAACGAAAAAGAAGGAAAAGCACTGACCTTTTTTTTAATTTTTCTTGTATGCCTTTTGTGTCCACGTGTCATTATCTAATGTTGCTACAATTGCATTCGTGATTTTTGATTTATGAAAAATCGTGATTTGTAGCATTGCTCTTAACTTACTGTAGTTCAGATACATTCGACAGTAACCTGACTTATGCAAAGTTGAATTATCCTTGTATATACTTTGACAGGTATTATTTTAGGTCTTATTTTTCAGTACTTCTAAAAAGTCTACTTAGTTCTCTGAGAAGCATTATCATGATGTTATGTTTGGAGTTAATCACGAATTACTGGCATTACAGAATACAATATAATAGTAATTTGATGATCTTCATTTTTCTCTTTTTCAACTGCCCACAGAGACGGCCTTATATGCTGTGAGAAGGTTTCAAACGAAGAAAAGGAAGATTGTGGATAGACGTGCCTCAAAGGGTCGCAAGATAAGGTTTTAACAATTCGTTTGTTTCCCATCTGTTGAGCCGCTAAAAGTTTGACAGTATGAGTATGCAACTCTAATTCCAAGTTCTTTATACTGACTCACATGGCGGCGAGTTGTCATTTGGTAGATGCAAATTTTTAATTTTTATTGTAGTGATAATTGTTTAAACACCTACTAATAAAAAGAGCGACTATTCACGTGCCACTTTGGTTGGTATAAAAAATCTGGCATTAGAGTTGGGACTCTCTGGCATTATTTATGTCGAGTAAATGGGAATCTGGTGCATTTTTTCATTTTTAGTAGAATTTTCTCTTAGTTCTCCTGTGTTGTAACTTGTACTATTTCAGGTATCATGTTCATGAAAAGATTGTGAACTTCAAGACTCCTTTGCCAGCATGTATTCCTCCAATGGCTCCTAAATTATTCGAGAACTTGTTTGGATTCAAGACCCAGAAGCCAGCTTCTGCAGAATAGTGGTGCTGGCTAGTTTTGTCAGGCTCTGAAATATTTTGTAATATTAACTGTACTTGCATGTAATAATTGCTAGCTTTTATAGTTAACCCTTTTTATTATTACAAATTTTTATAATTGACCTTTTCCATTGCAGGTCAGAGTGATGAGTCCTATCCAAACCGTTGAATTTGTGAAATTTCTGAAAATAGTACGGTCTACATGTAGGACTTAATAAGATAAACAAACCCAAAAGGATTAAAAAAACTAATGGTTAAAACAACCATTCCTATAGGTAGGGTAAATTAATAGTTCCCACCATAAAAATTCCCAAAATAAAAAAGAAGAAAATTCTTAACTGATTCGAGAGATTTATCATCTGTTGGATCTTCAACCAGAGCGAGTTGCATCAAAACACAAGCTGTCGACTTTTTATTATTGCCAAGCAAAACACTAGCATATATTTCTATTATTTTTAAACATTTTTTTTTATAATTATAAAAAATATTAAATAGAATTTAACATATTATATTTATTAAATAATTTTAATTTTTGAATAAATATTTAAAAAAACTTTAAAACTTGGTATGAAAAATAAAATAAATAGGTAGATAATTAAGTTTTATTATTGAGATTATTTTAATAGATTTGGACAACGGCAACATAAATAGTAGTGTAAAAATAACACCTGACATACTTTTAAAATTCTAAGTAACAGTTTTAGAAGTTGCCGGATAAAAATGAATTTCATGAATTACAGTTACATGCTGTAGCTTATTTCTATATATATAACGCTAAAAGTAATCTCTAAAAACAATGCTAATCGAACACAAAACAATTACCCAACAAAGAAATAATAATTAAAAAGAAAAAAAGAAAAATAGCTTGAGATGTGTTATGTTTTGACAAGTGTTAGACTTTCATGTTTCGCGGGTTACTCTATCACCAACCCCTCTCAGCTACAAAACCTAAGCTCCGCCTTACAAAAATTTCTAGAATTTTCGACGGAAACGAAAAAAAAAGAAGGCTAGAGCCTAGAGTCGCCACTGAGAAGCTGTCCTTGAACTTTCTCTCTCTGACTCTACGCGTGTTCGGGTTTCGGTGAGAATCTCTTCGTTTTCTGTAAATTCGTGTAATTTTTTTATGTTATTAATTGATTTTGTGTTTTAATTTATCCATGATTGTTGTGTCGAATTGTTTTGATTTCTGATTTTTGGTTTAGACCTGTTAGGTTTTGTGGTTTCTGTGGTGTATATGCCTGGAAGAAGAAGAAGAAATGCGAAATTGTAGCCCTAGGAAATTGGGGATCTTTGTTTTAAAGGAGGAAGGGTACGATTCGTTTGATCATGTGTTTGGTTGCTGAGAAACTTGAATTAAAAAAGTAGGAATTTTTTTTTTTTTTTTCGTCTTGGAGGTTGTTCTTATTTCTACTGGATGAAAATCAGAGCTTACCTGGGAATTGGTTTTCTGTTAATTAGGGATTTGTTTGTATCGCTTTCTTAGGTTTTCGATTGCAACTAAACACAGGGCTGATGATTTTACTCTTATGTAGTTGAATCATTTCTTTTTTCTTTGTAGTATTATATCACTTGGCTTGGCTACTTTGTTTGATGGATGCTTCTTAAATTGCTGTAAACTTTGTTTGGGCAAATGGGAATGTAAACTTTTTATTATTGCGTAATTGCATTGTATAATCATCTAATGTGGTAAAGGGATGTGGATACATATGCCGTATTGGTTTTTGTATGTGTGGGGTGTAATGCCTATGTTTCAATTTTTCATTGGTTTATAAATTGAGATGCTTACAAAACATATATTTTTAAAAACAAAAGGTGTTTTTTTTTTTTTTTGTTTTGTTTTTGTTTTTGTTTTTTTAATTTTCCATTGGTTTATTTGATAGATAATTGGTTAACATGCACTATGCCTATATCACAATGGAGAGTAAATGATAAATCATAGTCTGAATGGATTGTGAATTTTGGATTATGTGCTGGAGATAATGTAATCTCATTGTCAAATTGCAATTTTAGGGTTAATAATTTGTTGAATTCAGGGTCTACATAGATTATACTAGCTCCTTTCTTAATTGTGTTCCTTGATGTTTTAATCTTTCGTTTGGTCCTAGGATTACTAATAGTGTGCGTGCGGGTTATAAGCAAATTGGGTGAGACAAACATGGGACATATGTGAGTTATGAGGAACAATATATTAGGAATTTCACTTGTATTGTATGTTTATCTTTTAGGATACTTTTTGTTTTTAACATTTTAGTTTTGAATTTAAGATTATATTATCTTCTACAATTATTTAGGATTTAGTTAAGTTCGTCCAATTGTCACGTTTCAATTAATAGATTTCAGAGTGGTGGCTAAATTAATATTGAGATTTCTGGTTTTCTTCAAGTTCTTAAGTTCTCTTTAGAATCCTCTCTTTGCTCTTTCTTTGTCTCTCTAATCTCTTGTACTTCTATTTCTTTACTTCGATTCTATCTTTCTCTCTTGCTCCTACATCAATGAGATTTTTGCAAACCATAAACCAATAGTTTTTTATTAGTAGGCTTTGATTGTTGGATAAGATATCTTATTTCAATGTGTAGAGTTTGCTTATGTAATACATTTATTGGATCTTGAAAATAACATGGCTTTGAGGAAGCTAGCAGTTAAGTGTGTTGTATTAGTGTTGTGTGAATCCGCAAGTGCACAGATCGTACAAGTAATAAAGTGTACCGAAGTACAGATATCGGCCCACAGAGATTGAATCACCAAAAATATATGTTGGAAGTTATGTAATCCACAAATCAAGTAAAGAATGAGTTTGACAAAAATTCTCTAAATTGACGTAATAAAATGGGTACAAAAATAAATGCCGTCAAAAGTGATTAAAAATAGCAAGATTGTAATTATGGGTTGTAAATCAATGATGAAATGAGCTAGGCCTACTAACTTCCCCTCAATTGCAAGTCTAACAAAAAATATTGCTGAAATACTACAACATTTACTACCCCTGTTAACAGAAACTCCTGTTAACAGAAACTCCTTTACTGTATAAAATTCTTCTGAATTAATTATGACTAAGGTTTCTTAAACCATTTTCGGCATATTTCTATGTGAATCTAGCTCTCAGAATGTAGATATAAGCTCAGGTTTCTTTAAGTTATGCAAGGTGAATAATATATTCCTATACCAGCCACTAATCAACAACTAAGCAAGGTTATTGAACAAGCATCATTCATGTTAGATCCGATTAAAACTAACCCTTCCAGTATTAATCTTAATCTTGTATCCTAAAATTGATGGTCAGTCAAGAATAGAAATAGGCATTAACACACATGAATGAACATGAATAGTACTCTCTTTTTTATTAATCTTAATAGCATCTCAGAAACAAATTGTCATTCTTACAACCTTGGTTCCATTAGTAAACGTAGCTAAAACAAATTAGTTCATAATGAAATTTACAAGATCCAAAGTTCCAGAGTAATCCATGGTGAAATTAATATCCAAATAACAAAAGAGAATTAAGCTAACAGATAGAAGAAAGAATTTTCGGCTGGATCTTGGATCTCTCTTGTCCGGCCTTCCTTCCTTCAGCTCTCTGCCTTCTTTCTTCTCTCACGTCTCTGTACTCTCTTTTTTTTTGGAGGAGAGGTACTCTGTGTATTCTATGTTTTTCTTTTCTGCAGCCGTGCTCTCTTTTTCTCTTTTCTCTCTATATTTTTTTCTCTTTCCTTGGCGACTGCTTTTCTCTCCAGAGAACACTTCCTTCTTAGGGCAACAAAAAGGTTTGAGGTGTCACTTGATGATGTGTGCAGTGGACCACAATGACATGCTTAACCAGCTCACACGGATTTTTTTTTGTCTGCTTTCTCCAAGTAGTGCGCTGATGTCATCCACATGCCAGCTGTTCCCAGAATGCTACAAGAATGCTTTAACATTTTGCCCAAGAATTTCCTGCAAAGTGCACACACAAATCTTAGTCGACTTTCTGCCTCTTTTTAATTCAAAATCCTCCAATTTACTTCATAAAGAGCACAAATACAGAATTCATCCATAGTAAGTGTAAAACTAAAAAAATCTAAGTTAAAACACAAAAGAAACTAGTAAAATCTCTCTTGGTCAAGCAACTTTTGTGCTAGAAAACCATTAGATAACTCTAATTTCTTAGAGTTATCACACCCCCAAACTTAGAATGTTGCTTGTCCTCAAGCAAATCACAAACAAAAACAGGAACAAGAAGAATGAGCTAAAACAGAAAAACAAGTGCAAACTTTGTGGATGAATTCTCAAGAGATTTGCCCTCATTAGATAGGTTAAAAGCACAGCTTAAAGAGAAACATCATTGTCAGCCAAGTGTTGATCCTAAATTCAAAAAGATTGCTTCTTCTCTGCTTGGACCTTTCTTGTGTGTGTGTGAACAACCAAGTGCCAAATCATCAATGTCAAATTAGTTGGGACTAAGCGCAGATGCTCTACATCAAGTGCTTCTCATTACAAGTTCAAACCCCATAAGCTTGCTTTTCAAAACTCTCTCCACTAATTTAAATCAACACACCACCAAGGATCAATAGGACTTTACACACTCTAGGACCTTGCAAGCACAAATAACATTCCCAAATCACACCCCCAAACTTAAGTTTTGCTTCCCCTATCCACCATATCAACTTATATATATATATATATTTGTTTTTTGTTTTTGTTTTTTTTTTAACTACCAAGAGATGGCACACTTGTCTTTTTACACAAGTGCCAACATTGATCATGAAGACACCCGGTTACTCAACAAGATGCAATTCAAGGCGCTATTTTTTTTTTTTTTTTGCTTGCTCTTGTTTTGGTCCACCATTTGACGCAAAAGTGAGCATAGGGCTCATGCTCACTCTTGGTTACTAAGCATTCCACAACAACGGAGCAAAGTTTTTTTTTATTATTCTTTATTTATTTATTTATTTTTCAAGAATAGTATGCTCAACATCGAAAGCTCCCCCTACCCCTAAACTTAAAACCAACATTGCCCTCAAGATTGGAAAAGAGCAAGTAAGGTACCGAAAAACATGCGTATGGGTGAGAAAGAACGAAGTTTATTAAAAGGCTAGGCTAATAAAATATGGCGGTTAACAAAGAAAGGGGAGAAGTAGGCTCAACGGGGTAAAACTAGGGATATGTTGAATTAAGGTTGGCCACAAAGCTCAAACGGTCCAAAGATAGCCTAAATCACTTCCTTGGTAAGGTGTTAATCTCAGATTTTGCCTCAAAAGTTCATCAAGCAAGTTCTAGTGTTTATAAATTGTTTATGTGGAATTGAAGCACATGCACAAGATCTTACCCTAAGGATGCACGGAATCAGTAACACAAGGTGGAGTGCATGATAGGAGAAAGGTCACAAGCCAAGACATAAGCAATCCGAAGAATCGAAAACCAACACGCGGTGAACATCACATTTGTCTAAAGGCTGGACCTAACCCATTCAATTTTCATCATATGATCAAGAGAAATCACCACAAAGTTGACAAAACAAAACAAGAAAACATGGAAAACCGCTCCATTTCCTGATTTTCCGGGGCAGAATGTGTCTCGGAACTGTCTTAGTCAGCTCGCACAGGCACGCCCTTCCCTTTTCTTGCCTTGCTCTTGAACGACATTGTGGTGTGCTGACTAGATAACTGAACGGTGACCACCCTCTGTTCTTGACTGCCCGTGAAAGAACTACCCCCTAAACTTACTACTCACTGAAACCCAACTCTGCTTTTTTTTTTTTTTTTTTTAATTCAAGTCCTCAAAGCCTAGATTCACTCCAACACTGACAAACACGTAAATACACTTTTTTTAAATAAAAAAAAACTCTCGACACACACTCACGGTGATGACAGAAAATACCTCCAAATCTCAACACATCTAAGTATATTCCACTAGCCAAAACAGACAATCAATGAGAAGGTAAGAAATCACCGCTACCTTTGTGTCCGCGGTGTGCTCTACCCCCAAAATCAAGATGCGATGCGCCGAGAGGATGCCTCGCTGAAGATACGAGGGATGAGTGAGGCTTTAGTGGTGAGATTGATGAAGATGGCGGAGATGGCTGTGATGGCTTGGGCGTGCGATGATGGGAGGAAGAGATAAGCGGCGGTCTAGAATGGAGGAGTGGAAAGTGTAAGTGGGTCGTTTGAAAAAAAATGAAGAGAGGAGCACAAATAAAAGGGTGAAATTAGGGCTTCAAGAAGCTGCTGAGTGAGTTGTCGTTTTGTTATTTTTTTATTTCCTCTCTATATTTTTCTCTCTTCCCTTGGCGTCTGCTTTTCTCTTCAGAGAACACTTCCTTCTTAGGGTAATAAAAAGGGCTGAGGTGTCATTTGATGATGTGTGCAGTGGACCACAATGACACCTGCTTAACTAGCTCACACGGATTTTTTTTGTCTGCTTTCTCCAAGTAGTGTGCTGATGTCATCCACATGCTAGCTGTTCCCAGAATACTGCAAGAATGCTTTAACATTTTGCCCAAGAATTTCCTACAAAGTGCACACACAAATCTTAGTCGACTTTCTACCTCATTTTAATTCAAAATCCTCCAATTTACTTCATAAAGAGCACAAATACATAATTCAGCCATAGTAAGTGTAAAACTAGAAAAATTTAAGTTAAAACATAAAAGAAACTAGTAAAATCACTCTTGGTCAAGCAACTTTTGAGCTAGAAAACCATTAGATAACTCTAATTTCTTAGAGTTATCAATTAGCAGCCTCCTCATCATTAAGAATATCTGAGCCGTTGACTAGGTCATGACACTCAGGTTCACAAATACAGTAGAATTACGTATACTCCATTTGGATTTAAATTTTGACAGCATTATGAAGCAATTGTATTTCTTTTCCTTGAAATAAGCAATTGATTCTCTTTTTTTTAGGTTGGTCAAACTGTGATTGGGAATTTTCAGCCCTAGACTCTAAAATTGGAAATAAACTTCTAAAATTTAACATAAGTACATGAGCCACATCATACTAATCAAAGGAAAAAGGAAAAAAACATGCTGAAAGAAAAGTCCCACACTGTACTTATCATCAAAAGGAAAATGGGGTAAAAAGGCCAAGAAAAGAGCTCTACACGCTTTAGGCGAACAAGATAGTACGCATTTTCTTTTTTGGGGGGTTTCTTCTTAGGGGTGAAGAGGGAACCTTGTTTGAGTTGGTGTACAAAGAAGCTGCAAAGCAAATTGGATTAGTAGATGTGAGCACATAGGAAATTATAATCTCTATATATTTGTAATTCTCATCATTCACCTTCTCTTCTATTCTTTTTCAATTTTAAGGATTCTTCATTTCTGCATTTCCATCGATACTTGTTTTCTTGCTTGATGCTTACTTGGTTGCTGTCCTCTTCAGCATTTCCTTGGTTGTGAGTGTCATGTTTTCAGAAAAGTAAAGAGATTTTCTTGTTGAACAAAAAAGTGGGGAAAGAAAGAAATATACTCTTTTGGGAAATGAGTAGTTTTGAGATGTGCATTCGGGAAATGACCCCTTTTTTTTTTTTTTTCCCCTGTATAGATGGCAGACGTTACAGAGCCACCTTTTAGACCACGTGAGAAGCTCCTTGAGAAGCAGAAGTATTTCCAAAGTATCCAGAAACACACGTATCTGAAAGCACCGCTTGATAAGGTCACAGCTGTTGCCATTCCCATTGCTTTGGCAGCTTCCTCCTTGTATCTTATTGTGAGTTCCTATCCATGAATTAACACTATTTTCTTTTTGTAAAAAATTCTATGAGGTCTTTTTATTGCGAAAACTTCTTAATCCTTTTTTTGGCAGCTTCCTCCTTGTATCTTATTGTGAGTTCCTATCCATGAATTACCACTATTTTCTTTTTGTAAAAAATTCTATGAGGTCTTTTTATTGCGAAAACTTCTTAATCCTTTGATTTTCGTGCAATACAATTGTAATGCCTTTGCATGTACTTTTTCAGGGACGAGGAATTTACAACATGTCTCATGGGATTGGGAAGAAAGAATGAGGTGGACAATTTCTGTTGATGAGGGACATTTGAGAATTCATTTAATTGCTTTTTTTAAGTTTCCGGAGAAAAAATGAATCACTCCGGATTGAGGACCGCTGTTGTTTTTTAAATAGTTGGTTCTTCTGCTTTAATAATTGCTTAATAGCAGAATCCTTACAACCAAGTTGAATCTCCACCTTTTTTCTTTTATGTTAATGGTCTTTGTTCTCTGGTACTTATTATTGATAGACCTTTTGTGTGGTTTGATCCATAATAATACATTGCTTGCTTAGTCATCCTGGCAAAGCATTCTCGAGCTACATCGTCTATGTAGGCCTCAACGTTGCGACTCTTGTGTAGTCGAGTGAAAAATGTAAAACGCGGTTTGCTTGGTAATTTGAACCATATTTCAAACTTTTTTTTTTTTTTGGCTAATTTGTCTCACAATTATTTTTTTCTTTTCATTTAAACTTTATGTACAAACTTATGAGTCAAAAACAGACTATAGGTGAGTGTTAATAGGGAAAAATATCAGAAATACCACTCAAAATAGTAAAAAATATCATTTATATCACTTTATTTAAAAATAAATAATTTTTGAAGAAAATAAGATGCAATATAAATGGTACTTAATTTTTTAAAATTGCATAAATAATAAGTGTTTATAAAATTATTTTCTTTAAAAGTAACTTTTGAACCTCAGTTTGCTACACTCCGCGTTCACCATTGAACTTGCTGATGGTATATTAGATATTTTCTGTCAGCAATTTCTCTTTTTTTGGGTAGCATAGAGAAGTTTGGACGGTTTTGTCAGAACCCTTTCTATTAAATTTAAAATAAACGCATTATAACGCAAATCAGTTAAATAAAATTCTATTACAATCCAAGCAATTAGTACTAGTCAATGAAAACAAGAGTTATTCACATATATACGTATAAATTACTAAAAAGTTGAGGAAATATGCATAACGGTAAGAATTATGTCATATATATGAACGAGTTTTTAGTTGTTATGTTTTTATGGTGATTATTTATCAAATATAGAATTTAATAACATGATGGGATACAAATCTAATCATATTAATTGTATATATATATTTTTTTGTCAACTACTCAAGTATTACAACCATTAAATCAATATCTTATAAATAAAATAATGATACTTATTGATAAATAAATATTAGAGTGAACATTAAAATTATATCCAACATATATATGTGTGTATATATATATATTTATACTTTAAATTTATAGATTTCATAATTAACAAATGCTCAAACCGATTTTCTCAATTTGCTAATAATTTAAAATGCCTTCTAAAATGATGCAATCCGACTGATTAATTTGAATTGGACGAATTGAGCGGATTCATGGATTATGTGAATACTTCCACAAAATACAATGCTCGATTTTTTCTATATCCTAGAAAAATGCACTGCCTGATTAATTGTAAACAAAAAAAAAAAATCCAGCATAACAGTACAATTTTAAATTCATAATCATAACTTTTTACTAATTTATTTTTTTACTAACTTATGTGACATAAAGTTGTCATTTTTTAATTAGTAGATATAATCACTTATTATTAGTTAATTTGACAATTTTTTAAACAACAACTAATTAAAAAGACAACAAAAAAAGCTAATTTACGTACCGCACAAATTGATACAAAAAAATTGAGATTAGAGATGATGTCTCTAGCATCATTCTTAATAATTCGGACATTTGATATCCTAAATATATGAGTGTTTTATTTTGTTTATAACATTTTCCTATTTCAGAAATGAAAACAAAACGACTCACTAAAATTTGAGAGCTAAATTAAGTGGTTAAGTGTGTGAATGTATCTATCAGTTTTTAGAGTTTAATGGTTTTGTTATTAAATAAAGTGAAGCAGACAATGTAGAAAAAGATTTTATACTATCAATGAATTCAGTTTCATTCTAAAAAAAAAAAAAAATGAAAGAAAGAAAGGAACAGAAGAAATTAAAAATTTGACACGATTTACAACATGAAGGGCTCATTCGTTCGCTAATTCGAGTTTTTAATTCGAGTTAAGATGTAGGCCCTGTTCATTTCGCTGATTCGAGTTTAGAATTCGAGTTTTTCTACAGTAAAAAGCTCTCACAAACAATCACATCTAATTTTTTTGCTACAGTAAAAAGCTCTCACATAAAATCACATCTCAACTCGAATTCTAAACTCGAATCAGCGAAGTAAACGGGGCCGTAATGTTGTGTAAGAGCTTTTTATTGTAGCAAAAAAGTTAGATGTGACTGTTTCTGAGAGCTTTTTACTGTAGCAAAACTCGAATCAGCGAAAAGAACACGGCCGAAAGTCCTTCCAGAAAAGAATTTATTTTCATTAATGGATGGGAGATCCTCTTACTACATCAAATCTTAACTGATTATGTGGATATTTAGTTTATGGATTCAGAATCATGATTCAAAATTTTTTCGTTTTATGTGTGTTTTTTGTGAGAGAAGAGCACTGTAAAGAATCATGAATCATGATTCAAAATCAAAGACGAATGCAGGAAACAAACATCCCTTAAACTCAATAAAGTCTCAGGGTATGTTCTTTAATGGATGGGAGATCCTCTTACTACATCAAATCTTAACTGATTATGTGGATATTTAGTTTATGGATTCAGAATCATGATTCAAAATTTTTTCGTTTTACGTGTGTTTTTTGTGAGAGAAGAGCACTGTAAAGAATCATGAATCATGATTCAAAATCAGAGACGAATGCAGGAAACAAACATCCCTTAAACTCAATAAAGTCTCAGGGTATGTTCTTTTGGAGTGTGACTTGAGTGTAATTTTTGAGTTGAATTTGAGTTATAACTTGAGTTGAAGTTGTAACTTGAGTTTGTGTTTGGTTGTATACATTTGAGTTATGGTTTGAGATAATAATCTTTTTTTGAGTTTGTGTTTGAGTGAGTCAAAACTTAAATTTTATTTAGATAGTATTTTAATAAAAACTCAATGGTGATGCAAAATTTTAATAGGGTATATTGGTGGAGTTTTATTCGTCTTTTCGTTGTCAACGCATAGAAAAAAATCATCTCAATTAAGATTAAAATGAAAAAGTTATAGCATTTTTAAGAATAGAAAAAATATTGTTCATTAATTTAAGTTTGAGTTTCTGAACTCGAGTTGAAGGAGACACTTGAACTCGAGTTTTAGTCCCAAACTCGAGTTCAAACTCGAGTTCAAACTTAAAAAAATATAAACTTAAATAAAATTAGAATTCGAGTTTTTTTTTTTTTTTTTAATTTTGTAGGCAGCCGAACATACCCTTAATTACTCAAAAAAAAAAAAAGGAGAAAAAAATCTTAAACTGACTCACAAAATATTGTTCATTAATTTAAATTTGAGTTTCTGAACTCGAGTTGAAGGAGACACTTAAACTCGAGTTTTAGTCCCAAACTCGAGTTCAAACTTAAAAAAATATAAACTTAAATAAAATTAAAATTTGAGTTTTTTTTTTTTTTAATTTTGTAGGCAGCCGAACATACCCTCAATTACTCAAAAAAAAAAAAAAAAAAGGAGAAAAAAATCTTAAACTGACTCAATTTAGCCCAAAAATAAAAAAGAGAAAATCTTAACTGACAGAAGAGATTTGTCATCCGTTGGATCTTCAAGCAAAGGGAGTCGCATCAAACACCACGTGTCAGCCTTCCATTCGTGCCAACCAAAACGCCAACGTATATTTCTTCCAACACGCGCAAGAAGCATGAAACCAGCCATACTACCATAAACAGACAAAACAATTAACCAGCAAAAAAGAAATTTAAAAAATATAGTTGTGTTATATTTTGGACACGTGTAATATTTGTGTTTCGCGTGTGAGTGTATCACCAACCCCTCATCAGCTACAAAGGGCAAGCTCGGCCTTACGAAAATCTCTAGAATTTTCAACGGAAGATAATAAACAAAAACAAAGAAGGCCAGAGCCGCCGACTGTAAAGCTTTCCTTGAACTTTCTCTCTCTATCTCTACGCGTGTTTGGGATTTTGTAAGAATTTCTTCGTTTTCTCTCTGAATATATGCGATTTCCTTGTCCTTTCGTGGAGTAAGTTATCTGTAATCGGAGGATAATTTGTAAGTTCTCATCTCGTTTTGTTTTGTTTTGGTCTTCGTTGTAGATCTACTTTCGGAGGCGGATTCTCGTAGATCTGATAGTTTGGTAAGTGATTTTGAAGGAAATTTGTTTGTTTGTTTGTTTTTATTTATTTATTTTATTTTTTATGTTATTGATTGATTTTGTGTTTTGATTTATCCTTAATTATTGTGTCGAATTGTTTTGATTTATGATTTTTGCTTTATATCTGCTAGGTTTTGTGGTTTCTGTGGTGTAGATGGTTCTTTTGGTAATTTTCATTCCTGGAAGAAGAACGAAATTCAAACCCTAGGGAATTGGGGATCTTTGTTTTAAAGGAGGAGGGATTTGATTCTTGGTGTTTCTAATCGTTTGACCATGTGTTTGGTTTCTCAGAAACTGGAAAAGAAATCAGATTTTTTTTTCTTGGAGGTTGTTCTTATTTCTGTAGGATGAAAATCGTCGCTTAGCTGGGGTTTTTTTTTTTTTTTTCTTTTTTAATTCGGGATTTGTTTGTATCTCTTTCTTGGGTTTTTGATTGCAACAAAACACATGGCTATGATATTACTTCTACGTTGTTGAATTATTTCTTTTTTCTTTTTAGTATGGTATCACTTGGCTTGGCTACTTTATTTGATGTGTGTTCCTTAAATGATGTAGACTTTCTTTAGGTAAATGGTATTGTTTAGCTTCTGAATTATCAAACTTAAGACAATTAGGATTGATGTATATCTTTCTGTTTTCTAATTGTTTTTGTGAGCTGATTCTATGAGTTAAGACACACGCTCTTTGTTTATGAAAATAGTTTTCTTTTCTTTTTCTTTTTTTTTTTTTTTGTGGCTTTTGGTCTCGTTGTTATTTTATTTTGTTTATTTTTTAAAAGGTTTTGTTTATGAAAGTTTTACACATTGAAGCTGCTGCACGCATTATGCTGGAGCATTTTAAAAATTTTCTTCAGGCTACTTGTATTGACATGAACAATGAGATGATTTTTTTTTTTTTTTTGTGTAACAGTTTATAATAGGTGTCTTGTTTACTGTATTTTTCTTGCAGTAGTATTACATAAAAATGGGTCGTCCACAGGAACCACAGAAACCCTTCTTTCCCTTTGGAAATCCTTTCCGGATGATATCCTCCAAGGGTTCACAGTTGTCTCCAAAGCTTGTTGCACTGTTGAACGCTTTCGAGGAAACCTTGGCTGGGAGGATGACAAAACTGAACCCAATAAACAAGGGTGATGTTCTTAGCTTGTCATGGATGAAATTAGCAATGGATTCAATTTCTGAAACTTACAATGATGTAAAAAGCCTCATTACTAAGCTTGAGCTTCCCGCGTGTGACTGGGATGATAAGTGGATTGATGTGTACTTGGACATCAGTGTTAAGATGCTTGATATATGCATCGCTTTTAATTCGGAGCTCTCACGATTGAGCCAGGGACATCTCTTTCTTAAGTTTGCATTGCATAATCTGGATTCAACCTCTTCACAGCAGTTTGCAAAGGCCTGCTCCTTATTTGATGGCTGGAGGAAGCATATTAATACGAAGAATCCTAGACTTAACAACTGCTGGACCATTTTAGACAGTCTGGTGGAATCCTTGGATCTCCCAAAGGTTAAAAACTCGGCAAAAGGGAAACTTTTGATGCGTGCTATGTATGGAGTTAAGGTGGAGATAGTTTTTGTTTATAGTGTCATTGCTGCAGTCTTTTCCGATTCCGCGGAGAGACTGGTCGATTTGAATGTTGCTGAGACGCACTTGTGGGCACAAGCTTTTAAGGACCTGCAATCCAATGTGAATGGGGAAATTAGAAATGCTTCTTCCAGTGGCAGATCTGTGGTGCTGAAAGAGCTGGAAGCTGTTGATGCTACTGTCAAGAGATTGTATCCCATGGTCCAAACAGGAGTTGCGTCTGATCATCTGAAGGTCTTACAAAACTCTGTTACGGAGTTGCAAACGGTAACAGAGAAATTCTCAACGGGACTTGATCTTGTCGCAAAGGAAGTGGACGGCTTCTTCGATGCAGTGTTATCTGGGCGGGATGCTTTGCTCTCAACTCTAAGAGGAGATGGAGGTAAAGTTGAGCCAAAGCTAGCGGGAAATTTAGGGCAGATTGTGAGGTGAATTCTAGTGGGGCTTAATCTTCTCATGTACACAGAAGTTGTTAGGCATGGGGTTTTCAGTTTTCTTGTACCGGAAAGTATATTCTCTTATATGGCTTATAGTATTGGGTATGGTGTGAGTTGTAAGATAAGTTATGTTGCAATTGTAATGGTCGATGTGTATGTTGTACCTGAACTGGCTTCCATATATAAAATGGTCCTTAATGTTTGGTGCAATTGCAATAATCCACTTTCGAAAAAAAAAATGTTTTTCCCTTTTTTTTTTTTTTTTTCAATATGAAAAATCTTGACAAATATTTTTAAAAGTGCTTTGAGTTTTAATTTTTATCTCTTATTTTAATTAATTAACAGTAAGAGTAAAAATTTAAAGTCATACATTTAATAATTTTCTCAAGTTTTTTTTTTTAAATATTTTTATCTCTTTATAATCATTATGCCTGTTACGGGCTTCTAAACTTGTATGCTGTTGATACGTCTCGGTTCATCTTAGAGAATTTTCATGCAACGTAATTCAAGTTCCTGTTAATTTACCGATCCATCTCAAAAATTTAAGGTATTTAATACTTTAACAGTTCTAGTACCAGACAACCAAAAGAGCAGGACCTCTCTCATGTGTGGATTTACTGCCTTCTTCTTTCTTTCTTTTGTCTCTTTCTAAAAGTTATGCTCCAGTTGTGCTTTGAGAAGGAATTCATGAGTCGAAGTCGATGAATTCCCGAAACCGGATAAAGTACCAGCACCTAAACTATAAGACAAGTAAACCTCTCAACGAATGCGCTTAGCTGTTCTATTGTTTTATTTTTATTTTTATTTTTTTTTTCTTTTTTTCATTCTTAAACAAGTAGTTTGGCATTTGTCTGGAAGTGCTTGAAAACTAAGCATGTTATTCTTGTGTCTCTTCCAAGTAATGCGAGGAAAGGGGTAAGTTGAGAACAAGAAAACAATAGAAGAAACTTTTTGTTTTGGACTCCATTTGCTTACATGCGCTCTAAAAATAGTAACATCCCCGATTATCTTATGTTGTGTTTCTTCCTTAACTAGATTGTTTTGGAAAAGAAAATTTCTTCTCAATTTGCATTACATGAAGTACATGCATGCATCTCTTATAACTGGACATGGCTCGACAAACAGTCCTACTTTTTCGCTAATCAACAAACTGTCTTTTTTTTTTTTGTTTCCATAAAAACAAAATGTCCTACTTAATTAGGGTATAAACTCGACCTTGAAATTTGTTCGATTGATTGTGATAGTTCCAAGACTTTGCCATTTGACGATTGATGGGGCGGAATAATGAGAAGAGAACTAAAGACACAAAAAAACTAGTCATAGACAGTATAAATATGTTGTCCTATTTTTCTGTCTCTAATTGTTCTTAAATATAACTCATGATCTATTTGCTTAAATAATTTTAATATGTAGTATTTATTTTATGGTCATGTTCTTAAATTTATATGATATAATGAAATAATATTAGACAACGGTTAATGCCATAGAAATTCAAAACAACATATTTGAACTGAGTCATAGAAAAATGTATTGTCTCCATTTCATTGATTCTATGAAATTCCCATTTGGAAAAGTTTATTGAAGAAGAGATTTTTATTTCCTGGGTCTTGAACAAGTCTTTCAATTAGTGTCCCCTTTTTTTAATTAATATATATAAAAATAAATAATTATCATGGTCCAACACCACCCCATCAGAGCTTTCACACTGCGTTTAGTTCAAGCAAGCATGACTACGTTTCTTTATTGGTTTCCTTTGTTCGCTTTGGAAGTGGTGGGTCAATATCTAATAGTGGTAAAGTCTCAACAACAAACAACAAACAACAAACAACAAACTACAAACTATCTTTGTGGGGGCTTTTAATTGTACAGAAGAGGACCACAAAATACAAATTGGAGCTGAGAAATGCACAAAGTGCGTGCTATTCAAATACCTATTATTTTTCATGGTGCTCGTTTGTGCATAATATAAAAAGAAGATGATAAAAGCAGGTTTCTACAGCAGGGTGTTATTATCGATAATGCATATTCTTCAACGTTAAATACTATTAAAAATCACATTAAAATGAAAAAAATATATAAACGTCGTAGAGTTTTATACGTTTTATACCATTTTGACAGTTTTAAACGGAACGATAAGATTCAATGTTCTTCTTACTCTACTTTAGAATTCTCATACACGTGTGTGTGTATACATACATGGAAAATGGTAATGGTAAAGTTCTATAGGACGTCATGTTAAAGTCCAGATATCAAATGGCATATTATTTCAATGATAGTAGGCCGTCACACTACGGGTGATAATTATATCATTCTAACATATTCATGAAGATATAAACGGTTGTATTGGAGTGTTTTTGAAATGGTTTTGTTTTGGCCTGTAGGAAATTAGAAATGAATATATATATATATATATATATATATTACATACAACATGGGATTAAATCCGCAACTCTCCACCTAAACTTCTCAGTGCCAGTAGACCAAGAGGTCTTAAGCGATATTGTTTTTTTATTTATTTATATACAACACGAGATTGAATCCGCAATACTCTACCTAAATTTAACCCATCCAAATCTCCCAGTGCCATTAGATCAAGAGATCTTAAGCTTAAGCGATATTGATATTGTTTTGAGTATAAGAAAAGGTGAAACAATATTTGTTTACGTTTTAGAAAACATGTATTGAGTATATAAGTCCTAAAAAATAAGAACGGATAAGGAAAAGACATCCCTTTAGTGTTTTCTTTTTTCTTAACAAAAAATAGGCTGGTGCAAAACATATCTGCCGTTCTCGAAAATATATACCAACTAACATTATGTAGGAACCGTTTCCAAATCAATTACCTTGAGAAACACAAAAAAGTTCTGAAAACAAAATCAGAACAGACTATAAGATTTCTTCTTCACATAAAATGAGACTAGTTCAAATCATATTAGTCACTTTTTAAAAATATGTACCAAGGAAACACTATTTAGGAACCATTTCAAAATCAATTAACTTGAGAAATGAAAAAAAATAAAAAATATATTTTTGAAAACAAAATTAAACGTACTATAACATTTTAGGGTTTTGGTAATGCCATTTTCTTCGTCATCTTTTAGTTTAGCCAAAAGTATGTGCGAAATATTTCTGTACGAAAAATAGTATGTGTATCTTGTATATTACATCACATATGCTGTGTGCATCAACTATACTTTGGCATAAGCATAGCTTAGAACATCTCATATTCAATATCAAATTGATGTGCCAATGCTAAGCATTTGTATGAATAATAAATCTTCAAAACAATGTTATCTTTTATGCTAAACTTGACAAATATTATATTTGGTTGCTCATTTTTCTCCAAGTATAGTAAATGTCAAATTAGACACTTGATTACTATTAGTTGATATATTAACTTTTTATTTTATCCTTACAACATTGTTTGTTTCTAAAATATTTTAGTATTAAAAGTTTATTTCATAAGTTTAAAAACTTAATAAGTACTATACAAAGTAGATATAACATTTCAAGTAATATTATGCATTTGAAAATAAATAGAGTAACAAATTAATTATGTTATTTTTACATTTTTTAGTAGTAAATATAATATTATTGTTGACATTTATATCGGAGATGATTTTTTTTTTTTTTTTTTGGAGCTCGACCATAACGGCGTGGCGACCTAATGAGATCCCACCTATTGATAAAACCACGATCATTTTGAAGTATGGCAATCGTGATCTACGTCATTGTTCTTTTGATATCTTTTCCTTCATTTTCTGAAGGTGAAGGAAACTTCCTCGATGCAAGCAAGCGAGGAGAGAGATAGAGATTTAAATAGTAGAAATACTAGAATTTGCATTGGTGAAACATCTAATCCTTCATGTAGTACAAACAAAGGGGTTCACAATACACAAAAACATCCTTTCTAATATAACACTACTCCAAATTAAAATCCTCAATTCAGGATCACATTTTACCATACTCCAAACCATTACAAACATTAATAGAATCAGAGACAGCAGAAGACAATATTATAGACCATTTAAAAAAAAAAAAAAAGCCCTCAAATATTATAGACAATATTAATAAGCCTTGTCTGCAACAAAAGAAAAGACATGAACTGTAAAAATCCAACTAAAAGATGACATAAAGTCGATCCATGAATCGGGTTTTTAGCACTTTAATTTGTTTATTAGAGAACTAAACAGCGTTTTTGTTAATCGACGACACCCAAAGCAAGAGGGAGAGAGTGAGAGAGAGATGCTAAATTTTTGTTCAAACATGGGCATCCTACTACTAGAAAAGAAGAGAAAAATGTTTTATGTTATGTTTAGTAGGATGGATAGAAAAGAAAAAGGAAAGAAAAGAAAAAAGAAAGAAAAGTAAAATATTTAGATGAAGGAAGTAAAATGATTTTCTCTTGTTTGGTAGAAGAAAAAGAAAAGTGAAAAGAAAATGTTAAATTTAAGACATTTTACAATAATACTTCAATACAAATAAAAATATGATGAATGGTGAAGGTTAAATTTTACGTTTCATTTTTTTATCAAACTTTTTCCCTCATCTTTTCTTCCCAAAGTTAGAAGGATTAAAAATTGATAAGCCCTATAAATTTTTATTTTCCTTCCTTCCTCATTTCCTACCAAACAATTTAAAATTTCATTTTTCTCTACAAAATTTTTCCCTTATTATTTTTTCTCTCTTTTCTACCCTACCAAACACACGGTCAATGACCTAAAAGCAATAGGAAAAGTTGTAGAGTCAAGTTTGCTTGGTTTAAGGAAATTGGAAATGATGGACAAGTCAAAGAAAAGACTTTTCTTTGCAAAGTTTAAGACATTTCATACAAAGACGAACAAAAGTCGAAATCTAGAAAATAACATCCCTCCCATGTTATGTTCTGTCTAATTAACCACATTTGTGGAGATTTGGATAAGAGAACTCTCTGCTGATTAGAGATTACAACTTCAGCTTCATTTCCAGGGTGGGAAAAAAAAAGTTCAAACAAAGCATTAGAAGTTGCCCAAGATAAAAGCGTTGGAAGAAAACCATCAAGATCTAAGATTCAATTAGTAGAAGCTTATTCCTATTATTTACAGTCTCTCTAAAGGAAAGTGGTTAGGACATAAATTATCTTTTTCGTTCTACCAAAGTAAGTGCCATCTAAAATCAACCTTACACAAACAAAATTTACAAGGGAAATGTTCTTCAAACGTAAAATTTAGATAACTAGATAATCGTCAAGAATTCAACCTCATTCCATTCCCAGTGAAAGAAAAATTCTAAAACCTTACCCAATATATGAAAATATATAATTATTATAAAAAGTATCTTAAGTCAATCCCACAAATGTAACTTTTTTCATATTTTAAAAAGTCTCACTCAAGAATATTTTTGCCTACTAAAATTACATCATAATTGTTTTTTTTTTTTTTTTTGAAGGTCACCATAATTGTATTGGAACCAAGGTTTCAAATTTGATGAACTCTCATAGAGAGCTGACCCTTGAGAACTATGCAAATTCCAACCTGGTATTTATTTATTTTTATTTCATAAAAAAAGTATCCTAAACTATTTTAGAATAAAAATCCAAAAATAACTCAAAAAAACTTAAGACTATTCCTACTCTATCCGTAGAGTTTTTAAATTAATTTCTTAACAGTTAAACGTATTTAGGTCTCATTCATTTTATTAATTTGAGTTTTCAATTTTAAGTTTTTATAATAAAAAGTTCTCAGAAAATGTTACATCTAATTTTTCATATTACAGTGAAAAACTTTCAGAAAATATCACATCTCAACTCAAATTAAAAACTCAAATCCGTAAAATGAACGAGAGCTTAATATAAATAATTTATATTAAAAATTTAAAACACTTCACACATATTTGTTTTTATTTGAGATCAGACCTTTCAAAAATTAATGAACGGTTAAAATACGGTAAAAAAAAAAAAGAAAAACCTCCCAGAAAAGAAAAGTCCTATTTTCCTCACGGGTCAGCCAAGCTTTTCCACTACAAAATGCATCCGTGGAATTGAAGGTTGACAAACGTACACATCACACTCGGCAGAAAGCACTGTCGAAACCCGTTTTCTAAATTTCCTGTTCTTTTTTTTTTTCGGAAGACCAAAAAAGGAAAGAAAGAAATGTAAAAAATCTTTACATTTTCTTCCTCAGATTCGCCATTTGCAACTCCTCCTCCGACTTAGTTTTCTTCTTCTTTTGAATTCCGACCATTAAACCTCAGTTGGGTCGTTTTTAGAATCCCAATTCTGGGCTCAAATTCCGATGGATTCGGGCTCTGCTTCAGCGGAAACCAACATCCGAGGAATACCCACCCATGGCGGAAGATTCGTACAGTACAATGTGTACGGAAACCTCTTTGAAGTTTCCAGGAAGTACGTCCCTCCTATTCGCCCTGTTGGGAGAGGTGCTTATGGAATTGTTTGGTAAGTAGAAATCTGAAAATCTTTTTCTGGGTTTGTGATTTTTCCTTTTTCTAATTCTAATTTCTTCACCTTTGTTGGTTATTTTTTTGTTCAAATATGAATTATGAGTTGTCTGGTTTCCGTGATTCTTGAGGATCTTGGTGGGAGTTTAGAGGAGTTGGAGAGTTTCTAGATATATCTTTCTATTGTGGGTGTAGATTTATTTTATTTTTTCTTGGTTTTTGATATTGTTCTTTCTGATGCGGAGCTGAATCTAGTAGGATATTGTGGTGTGAAATCTTGTTAGTTGGTTGTTAATTTTTGTAATTTTTGGTGAGAGTCTTGATTACTTAGGGGTTGTTGTTTTATAATAAAATTCAGAAAAAGTTTGAACTAAGTTACAATTTTATTTAAATTCATGTTTTTTTTTTGTTTGTAAAATTTGAATTTGAACTCGAGTTAGAATTTGAGTTTGAACTCGAATTTAAGGCTAAACTCGAGTTTAAATTTTTCTTTTAATTCGAGTTCATACACTCGAACTCAAGTTAATGAATAGTATTTTTTCTATTATTAAAAATGTCATAATTTTTTCGTTTTAATTCTGATTAGGATGATTTTTTTTCTATGCATTTACAACGAAAAGACGAATAAAACTCCACCCATATACTCTATTAAAAATTTTCATCACATTGAGTTTTTATTAAAATACTATCTAAATATAAATTTAAGTTTTGACCCACCCAAACACAAACTCAAATAAATTCTCAATTCAAATCATAACTCAAAGTAGTTTTTAGTTTTTTTATTTTTTTAAATGAGCCATGTCAAAACAAGAGTTGAAACTGCTGAAGATTATGTATGGATTTGTAAAGTGGGAATCAGATGTTATTTAGTGGAGTAATGTCTGAACCTGGCTAAATTTGTGTGTATTTCTGTTAAGTTGGGAGAGATATTTATGAAAAGAACTTATCTTGCAAGCTAGTTTTCTTCCGGTCTTTGCTTATATGCTGTTCTCACTGTGTTATAGACAATTGTTGTCTTCTGCAGTTAACATAACGTTGAGCACATAACGTTGAGCTTATCTTTCCTTTATACTTGTTCTTGCATTTTAGTTGCAATTTTTAGCCAAATTATAAAAGGGGAAGAAAAAGTTAGAGAAAACATTAGTTTGGCCAACATTGACATTGAGTGTACTATTTGCTATATCATCATTATTATTATTTTACTTTTCCGCAGATAGATAACTTATGTAGTAAGTTAACAGATACACCGAACCACTGCCGCCATTCTTCGCCCCTCCAATTGACCAGATGAACAGGGTTTCTAGAAAACCCAAAACTTTACAAGGGACATGGATATAACTGCAACATGGATATAACTATCGTTTTCTACAAAATCTAAAACCTAAGAAGCAAGGAGACGCCGAGACGGTGCAAAACATTGATTAACACACTACAAACTTTTTTTTAATGAGAAAATAATGGAAATATTTCATCATCTATTGCAAAAACTAATATTACAAAATGACTCCCTTCGTAGTCATCTAGAACCAGTTTATTTGACTTATGCAGCTTTTTCTCTACTTCAAAGAAATACAATAAGAAGAAGGCTCTTGCCAATCGCTTGTGTAGCTGTTTTAGATTATTCTACTTATCTGACGGGATCAATTCATTTATGTTTCTTGATAATTTGAGCATTCTTTTTCTGTTTTCTTCCAGATCAACATTTTCCCAGTTTGTCATTCGAATTTCAAATTGAGAAAGTGTTTTATTTAAAGGATGAAAGCAACCTCTTTGCTGATGAGATTTCTTGAGGGGGGAAAAACATCATTAGGAGTATCTCCGATATGGCTTATATGATTCTTTTATCATTGGCATCGTGTCTTTTCTTCCTGTCATCTTTATCAAGTTTCTTGCAGTTCTCATTTCATGAACTTGTTGCCATTGACTTTCATAGAAATTAGAATTAAGCATATAATACTTTGGGGACCTCAATATGCACTTTTATTCTCTCTCTTCTTGTAACACCTGCTTGTGTTTCTTGAATGTAATGCTTATACTTGGTGTCTTTGTTTCTTCTGATTTTGATTGTTTCTCTTTTACTTTTATTTTATTTTTTACCTGCGTTATTTAACAGTATGAACTATGCTAAATTCTTTTCATGTCCTTTAGTGCTGCTGTTAATTCAGAGGCACGTGAGGAGGTTGCCATTAAGAAAATTGGTAATGCATTTGACAACAGAATAGATGCCAAAAGGACTCTACGCGAAATCAAAGTTCTCCGGCACATGGACCATGAAAATGTAATTTCATTGCCTTTGCTACTATGTCTCATGTTCTTGACTGCGATACATTTTCTGTTTTGTTTTTATTTTACTTTTTATTCTGTTATTGAAATTTTGTTACGTATGGGTGGCAGAATGAATGCTCTTATTAGATTTTTTTTTGACTTTGTATTGCTCACATCAGATTGTGTCACCAGGTTCATTAGGTCATTAATCTTCCCCATTGTCATTTGTAGATAAAATTTTTAATTTCAACTTACCTTGATTGTGTTTTTCATCAAACTTGTTTGGAAAAATGAGATCATGCAATGCTCATCTGTTTCTGTTTCGATATTGAGTCTTATGCTCACTGGTTTGTTCTTTCTTGATTACAGGTTATTGCCATCAAAGACATCGTACGACCACCACAGAGGGAAAACTTCAATGATGTCTATATCGTATACGAGTTAATGGACACTGATCTCCATCAAATAATACGTTCCACCCAGTCATTGACAGATGATCATTGTCGGGTTGGCACTTCATGAATTTCTTGGTGCATATAAAATGTCACGTTTGGTAGCCATTTTAGTCAAGTATTTCATTCTGATTTTCTGTTTGCATCTATTTTATTGTGAGATGGAAAATTGGAACTTATAACCTCTTACCATGTTTGCGTAGTCATTTTAATTGTCGGTGCTTGCATTTTACTTTTGCTGGTGCTCCTGCGAGATAAATGATACAATGTGTGGCAATTTAAGCAACTGCTTAGTGATGATTTCAATATTACATCATAGGTCGAAATTCAAATTTCGTTTTTAATCTAGTGTTATGAAGTACTTTTATGGAATGGGTTCTGTACTGCCAGTTAATAGGAAGCTAAACTTTGTCTAGAATATGAAAATCTGATGCTCAATGTATTTGGGTTTCTAATGATTACTATGCTTGATAGTCAAGGACTTGATTTTTAATATCCCTTTGTATCTGCAGCTACTGGGACAAGTTTTAGTAAATAATTATTTCATACGATGATCGTGTCATATCATCTAGTTCTGATTTCTCATCTGTTGCTTTTTCCTGATCCTTTGTCGGCTGATGTATTGATCTATCGGCTGACTCATCCTTTTTTTAGTTTCAAGTGGTCTTGATTTGTCCTATTCCAAATGTCAATATCTAATAGTAATTTTATTTAATATATAGAAACGAGTGAAACAAAGATAAACTCTCATGCAGGATTCATCATCTTATAGCAATTTCTATGAAACACGTGCTTTCATTGATTCTCTTGTACTATCTTCTTTGCAGTACTTTCTGTATCAGTTGTTGCGAGGACTAAAATATGTACATTCGGCAAATGTTTTGCATCGCGATCTAAAGCCTAGTAATTTGTTCCTGAATGCAAATTGTGATCTTAAGATTGGAGATTTTGGGCTTGCAAGGACGACTTCTGAAACTGATTTCATGACCGAGTATGTTGTTACTCGTTGGTACCGTGCGCCGGAGTTGCTCCTTAACTGTTCAGAATACACTGCAGCAATTGATATATGGTCAGTAGGTTGCATTCTTGGTGAAATAATGACCAGAAAACCCCTGTTTCCTGGAAGAGATTACGTTCATCAGCTGAGACTTATAACTGAGGTATGGTTAAACATATTTTGTTTCTGCCTTGGATTTCCACATTAGAAAGTTGTAATTGTATTTATTTATTATTTTCCCTTTGATCTAAGTGTGACCATTGGTTTTTTATCTTCTCCATTTTCCTTGAAAATTATATTTAAAAATAGCTTACATGATGTTTCCAGGTTTCTTCTCTATATAGCCTTGCTGAAATAAATTTTGCCTTTCTCACTTGAGTTTAGTGATCATTGCAATTTGTTAAACATTTTCATTTCTCTGAGCAGCTCATTGGTTCGCCTGATGATACAAGCCTAGGATTCTTACGAAGTGATAATGCCCGAAGATATGTTCGTCAGCTTCCACAGTACCCGAAGCAACAGTTCTCTCTTAGGTTCCCCAACATGTCTGCAGGTGCTGTTGATTTGCTAGAAAAGATGCTTATCTTTGACCCAAATAGGCGCATTACAGGTATACCCACATTTCTTTAAATTGTGAGAGAGATCCTTGAATAGTTTGTATATTTCTAAATTATCTTGCATTATGAAACTCTGTTTAAAAACAAAATTTTTATTCATAAGGAACAAACTTAAATAATTTTCCTCACGAAGCATATTAGAATCAATCAGTTTGCTGATCAATTGTTTAGCATTTGTTTGTTCAGTATGTTTGAACCAAAAAAGTTTTGGTTCAAACCATTTTTGCTATTGTGTTCTCATAAAATTTAAACAACTTTAAATTTTTTTTTAAAACTTTTTGGTCAAACCTATGAACCAAACGGGCCTGGTTGATACTTAATGTCTCTTGCGGTATCCTGGTTGATGATTAATAATATTCCTGCCCATGTCCTTGTCTCCTAGTAGCCAATGAACACTATGTCAGCATGGGGTACGGTGGAGTGGGGCTTGGGTTTGGGTTTGGAAGGGTGTGGCTTCAATCCCGCATTGTAAAAATAAATAAATAAATAAACAAAAGACAGAAAAAAAAAAGCAAGAGGTGACATTAAGTCCTAGGTTTACGCATAGAGAGGATCACAATGAAAGAGTTCTAATTGTATATTCCTTCCTGGTTTTTGCAGTTGATGAGGCTCTTTGCCACCCGTACTTGGCTCCTCTTCACGACATCAATGAGGAGCCTGTCTGCCCTAGGCCTTTCATTTTTGATTTTGAGCAACCATCGTTTACTGAAGAGAACATCAAGGAGCTCATATGGAGAGAGGCTGTGAAGTTCAACCCTGATCCAACTGATTGAGGATTATGTGGTTATCTGTTGTATACACTTGAGAAAATTACCCAATTAAATGATTGACAACGATGATCATAAGGATGCGGTGGATCCCTCCAAAGAAAAAAAAGATTGTCGTGAGATGTCATTCATCATCACCATTATCAGACACATCTTTGGATTTCTGTAAACATATTCAACCTAGTGAAAAGATATTCAGTAGTAGAAATAGTTTCGAGGTTTGCCTACTTTATGGAGCTCCAATCCCTCACTGTTGCAGGTTTGCTCTTTTATCGTAGACTTACGAGCTGAGTTTAGTGAATTAGCAATGGAAAACCACAATTTCTACCTTTTCCACGTTGAGGAGTGCATGGAATAAACTTTAGCATTAATTCAATGCAATCCGCGCGTATTGTATGACCAATAAGTCTATTGTTTGGATTAGTTGGTGGTGCCACTATGAAGAAATGCCTCGCTTTGCTATTTTATCTTTGTCTTGTGTCATTTTTCATGCCCTGAAAATGATCAGTTTTAGGCATAAGTTCTCTAAGCCTATTTACCAAGTTCTTTTCATGAAATGGTGGCATTTTTGTGTTTATACAGTTTTAGCGGAAATACCGATGCTAAAAGTTGATATTATTATGTAAAATAAATAGAATTAGAAAATATTGGTATATTTTGAGTAGTATACTTAATTTCTGTTACTAAAATCACCCACATTTGAAGCTATTTCCAAAAGTTGACTGCAGAAATACAAGTGACTTGTGTTAACACAAGGTAAGAAAAACAATATGGAACATAAAACTTAATTGGCACTTGCAGTTTTTGGTAGCGTAGTAAATATAGTAGACTAGCTCTTTCCCTAGAAGGCTAGAAACACAGCCAATATTGCTTGTGCACATTTTATAAACCCTACACAAGATAACTCATCCTGTAGCTACATTTCTTGAACTCGACCAAATCAATTGGCAGATCATCAGTTGGGAAATCACAAGCTGTGGTCTTCTCCAAACCCTGATCGTGCAGGAGATCACACGGTGGTGGAGTCACCCCGCTGGTGATCCCCTCCACATCAGTGCAAGTCCACTTCTGCTTCTTCGCCTTGGCTGCCATCCCAATGGTGACATTCGAGATGCAAATCCCTGTGAATGGGTCTCCGGTGATGCCCTCTAGCCTTGCAGCCATCGACACGTTTTCTGCCACCATGTCTTGGTAGTTGATGCCCTTAATCTCCGGCAAGGCATTCGGGTCATAGTGGTTGTCGGCATGAGCCTTGTAGTTGCCCGTCATCCAGAAGGCCCACTTCATGGTGTGCATGGTCATCCTCCTCACGTAGATGTCCTTCACGTAACCCCCTCGCCCGACAGCTGTCTTGATCCGAACTCCGGATTCCGTACGGATGGCCACAATGTCTTCTGCCCTTACGTCTTGGATCCCGCCTGACATCTCGCTTCCCAATGCAATGACGGCGCTGTAGGGGGAAATGCATGTGAGCCGTCGGATGAGGAGCTGTTTTGTGGGCCATCCAAATGCTATGCCGTACTCATCCCAAATGGTATGCCCGTCTCATCCCACCCGCTCTTAACGGCCACACAGTCATCGCCAGAAACTATGTAGCAATCTTCAATCCGAGTGTTTGTGCAAGAATCTGTAATTAACAAATGCGCATGTATAAGAGCTTGAAATGAACCCTTTTTAAAATTTAGAGACATGTTGAAATAAAATACAAAGTTAATGGGGCATTTATGAAATTAATCATATATTTTATATTAAATTTAAAATAGCATTATCCATTAGTTTTACACAGATGTTTTCTAAGAGATGTCTTCCAAATTGAGATGTCTTTTGTAGCTTTGATACTAGTTGTTTCTTCTCCTCAGTTTATTTAAAAAGAAGAAAGAAAATCATTTTTCATTAAATACCAACTACAATGTCTACTTCTACCAAAAAACAAAAAAAACAAAAAAAAATTACAATGTCTACATGGGTTTAATAAAAACAAAAGAAAAGGTAGAGAAAAACTATAGTGTCTATTTCCTTTATCTAATAGTACAAAAATATATTTTGATTGCTATCAACCCGTTATTAGTTAGTTTAGCATAATACACAATTAAGTACAGTTTAATTAACAATAAAAAGAAAAAACTCATCTTACTTTGGAAGTGCAATCTATGCACTTTCAAAAATCACACACGGTTTATTTTATTTATTTGTTTTATAATTTTGCTTTAGATCTTAATACATTCTAAATCATGAAAATAACAGTTAATGCAATTATTTCAAAACTCAAATATATATATATATATATATATATATGAGTTTAAAAGTTGTAAAAATAAAACCAAAATCAATGCTTACTAGTACCCATGTGATTTCCACATTTTTATGTTTATGATGATCATTAACGGTGATAAATAACAATAATCATGATTGCTACATGTATAACAAAACAAATAAATAATGTGACAATCATGGAAGCAACAAATCAGTTAGACATGCGGGACAAGATTTTTAACCTTATTCTACAGACGTAGTTATGGGGTCAGTAATTGTTGAAGTTTATAATGGACAAACCTGGGTTGATCCCATCTGTGTTTGGAGACGTTACTGGAGCGATGATTGTGATGCCTTGAATAAGAATATTACTGCACAATATTCCACAATTTTTTCAAGATTAATTATGTCTAATATTTGTAAACAATGTAGCTAACAAAAATTTACAAATTCATTATTATCTTGAACTGGAAATATTCGTGAAATCCGAAGTAAGCGTAAGATTACCTGCTATAAACAGGATGAACGTTCCAAGATGGGGCATTAAGGAGTGTTAGATTTGAAATCTGGATGCTATCTGAGAACATGATCTCAATCAGGTAGGGCCTGGTGTACTTCAGCTTGCCCTTGTGGAATTGCTGCCACCAGAAGGAGCCCTGACCATCAATTGTTCCATTTTCCCCTGAAATTCAAAATGGGGGGTCCAATAATTTTCAGTTTTCACAGGTTTTATAATTCAAGCTATTTATATTATTTTATGTAACAAAGTTTTTTGGTGGCTTTAGTGAGAGCTAGGCAGTCAGTGTGACAATATACCGGTAACGACGATGTCGGTGAGGTTTGTTCCGAATATGAGACTGGTGAATCTTCCGCCGGCCGCATCCCTTCCTCGGCCATAGGACGGCAAAGGTTTGAGCACAGGCCACTCATTTATGTCCTAAACCAAATTGATTAAACAAGAAATCGTAAGCATATAACGTTTTGTGACAATTAACCAATAACAAAATTTTTGTGGGGTCAAATTCGGAAGATTTTAAGCAGATTAAAATTGACATTTACAACAAGTTCATTATCATATCAATCAAAAAAAGCCTATACCGGAGGCTGAGGACGTTTTAATAGGTCCTGTATTTTATGTGTTGACCGTGATTGGATGAAAAAAAGGTTCATATAATATTGGTCCAATGCTCAAGAGATCAAATTGGATTCTTGTAGAAACAGGACTTAAAGCATAAATGATGCAACTTTAGACTCAGAGTTACGCACAAGTTCCTGTTTGGATACAAAGGATCGTCTTTAATTTTGTTTGTAGCTTCAAAGGATCTGACCTTTACGATTCCTTGGCTGTCTCATTTCACCTAGTCAATGAGTAGTTAGTCACGTATTTTTCTATATTCACTATAGTCGAAGTTCGTTAAACCAAATTCTTTGACGTGTTATATTGGTTAACTACTTTTTACTTATTAACATGCCCAACCCAACGACTGACATTAGTGTCGTCAAAAATAATTATCACAAATCAAGCCGAGTATCTCTCTACAACTTAAATTCGTTAATTGACCCATCTTTAGACTTAAAATAGTGTCTTCTTCATTATTATTCACACAAATCAAGCCGAAAATTTTTGGATGTACATTTAGTGTCCAATTTTTAGTAGATAAAATTTTATCACACCATCTCATAATAAACATAGAAGAGTTAGTAAAAAAAGAGCTCAAATTTTTTATATAATGTAGCATGATATATAATTAGTTAGACACCAATTTAGACAGAAGATCTGAGTCCAATATTTCTCTCTGTTTTCTCTTTTTAAAGAACTTGCAAGATAATTTAGGATTTTTCTCATTAGTGCCTCTCAACTCTAGGATCATTGTCACTTTACTACCTGAACTTTAAAAACTCAAATTTTATCTCCTAAATTTTGAATTAATCTAATTCAATTCAATTTGTTAAAATTTTCATTAGAAAGAAACTGAAAAAGAGCGAATGACCTCACTTAACTCCTTGTATTTTTGTTTGTTTTTAACGGAAATTTTAACAGAGAAAGTTAAGTGGAACTATTTTAAGGTTTTAAAGAGTAAAGTTTGAGTTTTTAAAGTTCAGAAAATAAATAGTAATGAACCGGGATGCAAGGAAGTATAAGAGAGTTGAGGGACACTAGAAAGGCAGAGAGAGGTTATTTTTTTATAGCTACTACTTGCTATGACTACTTTTAATACACAACCCTCTCAAGTTAGTTGAATCCGAGATGGGGTCTTCACGAAATGGATCAAAAAGCAGAGTAGTAACATAATATTCCTTTTGGAAATGATTCATTTTTTTAATGGCATTAATAAAAAAAATATTTCAAAAAATAGTACTGGTTTGGATTATTTTCTTTGTATCATTACCACATTAGACTCTTCTACTAATTATAGTAATTATCAACAACCATCAATACATAATAATTATTTGAAGGAATTACTGACCTAATAATGACATAAAAGAAAATAATAAAAAATCAGTGTTATTTATAAATTAAATACCTTTCTTATTAGTACCATATAAAAAATAATAAACCTATGTAAATAGTTTTTCAATGCATTTTCACACCTTGACCTAATGAAACTACCATAGCATGTAAGGAAAAAGTGACGAGACATAATATAATTAACTAATATATATATATATATATGAGGATAAATTGTCACTATTCACATAATAGCTGGTTTCAATAGATGTATATTTCATCATATAATAGATGTATATTTCATCATATGCAGTGAATCTCACCATTATGTGAGTAGTCGAGATTTAGATAGATCACATTTTTTAAAAATTTAAAAAAAAAAAAAAAAAGTAATTGGGAGAGAGAGAGAGACCTGAGAAGCAAGAAGAACAGCATCCTTGTGGAGATAGAGAGTGAAGTGGCTAATGAGGCTAAAGCTTCCAGTCAACCATTTGCCTGCAGGGACAAAGAGCTGAGCTCCACCGTCCGATGCAAACTGACTAAGATGATTGATTGCGTCCTGAAATGCCTTTGTGTTTGATGTCTTCCCATCTCCAACTCCTCCGAACTCTGTCAGCGAAGCACTGTGACCTCTACAACTTATGGCATTGTACTCAAACTCCTCCAAAATCCTTGCTTTTCTGCTCTCTGACCCTCTTATTAGTAAACTCAGAAAAACAAGTCCTACAATTGGTTTAATCACCTGCAAAAATTATAAACAATATGGAGGACTAATTAGATATATATAAGCTTCTTGTTGGTATATATATATATATCTATATATATATCTATATATATGTTTAATTAGCACTAGAAGAAGATGTGTTCATCGTGATCTTTGTTTGTTTAAGAGGAAAATGGAGGAAAGTTAAGAGGGAAATTAGGAGAGAGAAGAGAGAGGTTTCATTACTTGAGCTCTCACGGGTCTTCTCAATGGCGACTTCATTTTGGGAAAAGGGCACTTTGGAAGTTATGGATATGTTGCAGAGAAAAATGAGGGGCATATATATATAGGACAAAGTGTTGATCAGCTTTGGATTTTTTTTTTTTTTTATTCCACGAAATTAAAGCTTTGTATTGTATGTAAAGTTGAATATTTGAGGCGTATTATTTTTAGTTTCTTAGATGTACTGTAGACATGTGCATGTAAAAAAAAAAAAAAAAACCAACTATTTTCAACATGACAATGGCAAAGGCGCTTAAGATTATGTCGGTCTTATTTCCAATTTTCCATTAAACTTCAGTTATAATTCTTGCATTACCAAGGAAAATGTAACTATTCATTCTTACTAAAGTGATCTTATCTTTAAAAATGTTTCCTATCGTATTTTTCATTTTTTTTAAAATTTTTCTTTCTTTGGATTCTTTATATATAGAGAATGATGCTAACTAAGAAAGAGTATTGTGTTAATTAATTTGTCGAGGAACACAAAAACATAATCTCTTTTTTGCTAATCTTCCATCTCTTGCGTTTAATAGTAGTGGTTATGATCTTCTTTTCAGCATGTGGTCCTAGTATTATAATTACAGTACTATTTTGATTAGCAAAAAAAGAAATGATTACAGTACTAAACTTTGCTCAACTTGACCAATAGAATTAAGCAAAAAAAAAAAAAAAAAGGCGCAAAGTAAATTATTTCATCACATACTGCATATCTTAAACAAGTTCCTCTTTTCAGTCACAAAAATTTAAAGATTTTTCCCACCACCGGATTCAACGAGTTAGCTACCATAATTAAGGACAGTTCAAGAGTGCGTTTAGAACTCGTTCTAAAATAATTTTATTTTTTTGTATAAAAATGAAAATGAAAATATTTTCAATCTAAGACAGAAATCATTTTTGAAAATGCATTTGATAGTTTTATCAAGAGATTATTTTCAGTATAAAAAAATCATTAATGTCTCTCTCTCTCTACTCGAGAGAGGAGAAAACGAAAACAAAAAATGAAAAACGACTAAAAGTCATTTTTCATTTCTCTTCCATTTTACACTAAACCAAAAAATCATTTTCATTCTCATTTTTTGTCTTTAATTGTGTCAAACGCTGTTTTAAAATCGTTTTCATTTTTTTCTCAAAAAACGTAAAAAACAAAAATAAGAACAATTCCAAACACGGCACATATATTTATCTAGTTTAACTCGTGTTTATGTCTTTCCTTAAAATTTTTTTTTTTTTTAAAAAAAAAAAAAAAAAAAAAAAAAAAAAAAAAAAAAAAACTTGTGTTTATTTTTGAAATAAAAACAAAATAGAATATAGGATCCTAAGCTAAGTTCAATCCGATTTTGAATCAAGAGTGGTCAAAAGGTTTATCAATTGTATTCTTGTATCTTCCAATTATGTCGTCAAAAGCCATGTGTTAGTTACAACTCACATTGATCTACCTTTCCTAATACTGTGAAATGATTTCTTTGTTAGCGACTTTTGGACATGAGATAAGAGTCTAGTTTCGACTAATTGTTTACACACTAAATTACGTGGCATGTAATTTGGCACTTAAAAAAGTGGGAATTTTATCACACCATAATGAATTTTATGGCCGTCCTTTCTATAATTTATCTTACTGATTAACTCAGCAATCACTATCTCTGCGACCAACAACAACCACATAAATGTTTAGGTGATATCAGCTTTCCACATTTTACTAATTAATACTCATTATTTTAAGTTTAAGTGAGATTACATAAAATGGTACCCACTAGTTGTGACAACTTAACACAAGAACCGATGAAAAACGATGAATAAGCTCTTATACATAGTAAAGATGTCTTTTTTTCTTCTCATCTTAAGTTGCACTCAGGATTTGATTAATGTGCTGTATAGCATTCGGAGTGTGAAGACATGAGTGAAAATTTTGTCATTTTTCAAATAGAATTTGGTCAAATCATTTCTAATAGTGTGTCCTTAAATTTCTGCAATGAGAAGGGGATAAGAGGTGGGACCCTTTTTTTGTTATATATATATATATATATATATATATATATATTATAAAGAAAGAAACAACAATAATAAGAGCCAACAGTATACCACCCATGAACTTGATAAGGGAATCTTGGGTGAGTTGAGGGTGGTGTTACATTTTCTGTGGATTGTTCTTTTGGAAAGTAGCAAGTGGAAGCCCTCACTTTCTTGGACTTTGCATTCATTCTATGATCTCGTGATCACTCCCAACCTCCCCAACATTCTCTCTCTCTCTCCCTCTCTCTCTCTCTCTCTCTATCTCCTTCAATCTATATTTTTTCAGCTTTATCCTCCCTCTCTCTCTCTCTCTCTCTCTCTCTCTCTCTCTCTCTCTCTCTCTCTCTCCCTCTCTCTCAATTTAACCTTATTGTTATAAATTAGTAGTATTGCTATTGCCGACCCACTTCACGGGTGAGGAATTGGTGGATCCCACCTTCCATGGTCACATAATTAGCCCTTCAAATGTGGTATCTATATGTTGGAATAAAGAAATTATTCGTGATATGAGGCTGCAATAAGAACCAAAAGTTGTTTGTACGAGAAGATTTTGTCCCTTTTCGACAACGGCGAGCTCAGATAAATAACAATCACAACGATGTGATTGATGTTCTCCTTCACAAGTGTGTTGTCCTTAATTTGTTATCTCATAGTTGTTCCTCCGCTGTTTTAATCCTCTCTTGCACAAGCAAACTAGAATTTAAATTTTGGGAATTCAAATCACAAGTTGCAAACCGTAGACTTAGAGTCCGTTTAGTTCATAGATAAAAATCATGAGATTAAAATTATTTTTAATTTACGTGTATTTTTTATGAGAGAAAATATTATAATAAACTATAAATTATAATTCGAATCAAAAAACGAATTCTACAACCAAACAGGCTCTTAAATAGAGATCCGATAGAGTAGCGAACCATAGGCTTTATGTCACCACTCAGAGAGAAGTGCATACCAATATAGATTACTTTTTTTCTATCAGTTATGCCGCAAGTTTTGACTTTTAAAATTAGAATTAAAACCAATTAAATTAATAATCAACTATACTATGGTGTAAACTCATAATATTTTTTACTAAACTTTAAAAAGTTAATGAAACTCCATTGCAAGCTTAGTTTAATTAGGAAAAAAAAATATAAAGATACAAATAGATAAATAGAGATAAAAGAAATTATATTTGCATGGTTATTTAGATTAATTCGGTTGGTTTTTTTGGGTTATTTTTTTAGTAAATGGTCCAAATTTTGTAAAATTAAAATAATTACTGTTTATAAGTAATAAACACAGGAAATCAATGGTCAATCAGTTTATTATTGATTGACTTGATAGTGTATTACTGTTTTATTTTGAGGTTTATTATTGAATGACCAATAATTTATCGGCAGAGAGTGTTGCAATCTATCTTAATGTTTCGGAGAGACCAAGGACAATTAGTAGCGGAACCAATAACACTTGAGATAGCAAGAGCACTATCACTTTCAATGGATATTGTTTACAAGACTGATTTGGAGGAAGCCTGAAGGGCGAAGCAAATAGCCTCCATCTCTGCCACTAAGGGATCTTTAGTTTTGATCAGAGAAATAGCAGCCATAACTATGTTTCTTCTATTCGAGTCCCGGCCAACAGCAGCAATCACCGAAGTGGACGGACCCACTGAACAGTCCAGATAACCTTGATCCACCCCGGAGGGGGAGGCTGCCACTCTTTAGAAGCTTTAGAACGGATGACCGGCGAGGTAAGAAGCTGATGGTACTCTTGGTATTACTTCTGAACCTGCCTGAAAGAATGCAGCGGGTTGACTTCCAAACCTTAACACAGCAAATCGTTCCTAGCTTTCCAAATCACCTCTAATGCACTCGAGGTGAAAAAGAGGAACTTCGTTGACTGAGGAAGGGTCGAGTCTCCAAGCAATACTAGGTTCAGGAAGTCCTTTATGGATTCAAGGTTAAGATGTTCGGATCGTAAGTTCTAGGGAGACATGAACAAGATCAGCCTCGAGAACCTGCAATACAGAAAGATGTGAGTAATAGTTTCCCTCCATTTCCCATAAAGACGTCAAATCTCTTCTCCTCCTTCAATTCTTCCAGAAATCTCTCTCCTGTTTGGGAAGGCCCCACACTAGCACTCCACCACAAAAGTTTGTGCTCGGATGCAATATATTGTCACAAGGGAAAACGTTTGTGTTAAGACAAAACATCATCTGCTGCAAGTTTCTATGTCCTTTTGTACACAACAAAAAGTACATATTAAAATGCTTCACAATCTCTTATACATTATTTACTCACGAGAGCATTTCCTTTGCTATAAAACGTCCAAAGAACTTTATCCCCTCCATACTGTAACAATTGGAGCTTTCTGGTGAAGACTATCTTCAGCTTTTTCTCTCTGAAAAGTGCTGCGCTCACGAGCCTCACTTCGTATGCTTGCATAATTATTTTTTTTTCCTAAATAATCTATTAATTTTTTCTTTTTCGTATTTTGTTGTCCGTTTAGGGGAATTAGATTTTGACACATTATAATAATTATTTTTATTTTCTGAAACAATTATCCTTACCTATTAGAATATAAGAAACTGTCAAATGAAGTCAAGTGAATAAGTATATCTCGTAGATTTTTTTTTTTTGAGGGATTATATCTCGTAGATGTTATTATTCACTTTTGAGTACAAAAAAACAAAAACAAAAAAAACAAAAGAAAAAAAAAACTGTAATGAATTTGAGTTTTTTGATTTTGTTTGGATTCCTAGGCCCCTTAATGTAATGGCCCATTCTTTTTGCATTTGGTGAAGGAATATGTCTGCTATAAATATGTATATACCTCTCTGTCGCAAGAGTGGCATTGTATATATTCCAATTCCTTTTTGCAATAGGACTCTTTTTCAGGGGAAAAACAAAAAAACAAAAAAGGAAAAAAAAAAAATAGTGATAAGAAATTTTGACGGAAAATGGAGAAAAAATTGATTTCTTTATTGGAGATCTCTACAGTAGGTCTTAAATAAATGAACTATTTATAG